TGTGAGATGGTGATCTTTACAGGTGATCATTGGGTTCCTAAAATGGCTGCCCTGTTCGCAAATGGCGATCTTTACAGGTGATCGTCGGGTTCCTAAAATGGCTGCCCTGCGTTTTCCAGACCCATGCTTTGCAGGATAGCCATTTTAACAGCTGGTCTGCCCTCTCAAAATGGCTTCCCTATGGAGGATCTTCGCTGGGCGGCGAGGTAATTTCCCCATTGGAATGCATTAAACCAATTTCAATGCCTTCCAATGGGGAATTTGGCGATCTTTACAGGTGATCGTCGGGTTCCTAAAATGGCTGCCCTGCGTTTTCCAGACCCATGCTTTGCAGGATAGCCATTTTAACAGCTGGTCTGCCCTCTCAAAATGGCTTCCCTATGGAGGATCTTCGCTGGGCGGCGAGGTAATTTCCCCATTGGAATGCATTAAACCAATTTCAATGCCTTCCAATGGGGAATTGTTTTTCGTATGATGACAATTTCGCTGTACAGCGATTTTCCTGGAATGGATTATTGTCATCATGCGGGGCACCGCTGTATTAATCTTTCTGTCAGCCTATGATATCTGTAAAGCTCTCCTCTAGCTTCAAGTGTCAAATGAATCAATTCTTGCCATGTCAGCTTTCTTTAATGTTCAGATTTCTCATCCGCATGTAATAATTGAGAATACCATAGTGTAGATGTTGTTCACCATGGTCTCTAGTGACACATTCTTGCACTTGAGAATCTTTCCTTGTACCTTCATAGCTGCCATTCTGAGTCCCAGTCTTCTTCTGATTTCTTAACTGCAACCTCCATTGAACTGACAATTGAACTGAGGGACCCCCCAAAAAAGGAATGAATGGGGTGGCTCCATCAGAGATGAGAGCTGATCTTTTTGGCCTACAACTCCCAGAATCTCACAACCAGGATGGCTGTCAAAACTGATTGTGAGTTTCCACAAGCTGGGGGCCAAAAAGTATCATTTCCCATCTCTGGGCTCAGTAGTTTCTTGACTGCTGACCTCCCCATTCCAGGTCAGGAGTCATTCAGACTCTCAGCAGATGTCCCTCGTCAAGGCCCATGTCTCCAGGACCACCTCACAGAGTTTTGCATTTTTCTATCTAAAAAGCCTTGGTTGATGAAACCTTTCAAGGTTCTTAAAAGTACTGCAAGTGACAGAGAACATTAACCACAGCAAGGGAAAGGATTTTTTGGATTAGGAATTAAAGGAAGTATGGCTTTAAAAAGACAAGCCAGTGACTTCTGCATATACAGTATAGCGAAACATGTCCTTTACTGACAACCCAATGGATAGCCCTTCAGAAAACACATTGCTGGAAAGTGTAAGAGAGTGGCAGGCATCAATACATTTGAGATGGGCTGAGCCACCATATGATAAAATTAAACTCAATTACCGCCCCCCCCCAAAAAAAGGACAACAAAGCCATGTGGTGACAATCAAAATAGATGATAAAAATTAGGGTCAACAGAAAGCTACCATAGGCAAATAATATTACTAAAGGCTTATTCAAAGAGCTGTGCCTTAACTAACTTGCAAAAGGCTGAAGGGAGGGGGCCTGGCGAACCTCAGGTGGGAGTGAGTTCCACAAAAGACAGAGCCACTATTGAGAAGATCCGTGGAACTAGTTAGCATCAGTCACAGAAGATGTTTTCATCTAGCAACAAGAGAGCCTGTCTGTCTACTGTGATCGTAAAGCAGCAGCTGTTTCAGGAAAAAAAAATCAGTCTTGACATGTAACAGCACTTTTGTGCTATGGCAGCAATGTTGTGCAAATTCTGCCTGTGTGTGAGCCTGCAGGCCTTTCAAATGCATGACAACATACTTTAAAACGTGTGGATGCCAAATTATTTTAGCAGTTAATTTTTCATATTGATACAGTATTTATTTTCATAATATATTATTGATGGCTAGAACTGGATGTTTCATAACGTACCACTTAAGCTACTTTAGCCGTTCTATTGGAAATCACTTTCAATTTAGACAATTTTTCCTAGAATAATTGGAATTTGTATTTTATGACTCAAAAACTTCAGGTAAGACCTAGATGGAGCCCCCTACTCCAAGGGTGGGCGGACTTCAGGCTTGTCCGACTGGCTTGGGTTTGCAAACGAGAACCCTGTTGGCTGGAGTTAGGTACAAAAGACACATACTGCACATAGAATTGGGGAGTTCTAAGACCAGTCTAGCTTCGAGTGCCAGACTACTGGATAGCTCAGTGGTTTATGCATCTGGCTGCAGAGATGGGAATTCGATTCCTCGCTGTGCCTCCCTCCTTGACAGGGGATGGACTCAGTGATCCAGTTTCCGTTCCAGGTCTGCAGTTATAAAATTATTATTACAATAACTTGCCTGCGTAGACCATCTTTTTGTTTAAAGCCCCAACTTACGATTTCTGCAGTACAAATGGGAGAAACATTTGTTTAACTTGCATTCTGTTTTCCTCCAACACTGGCACTGAATATAATTCACATCAGGATAAAAAACATGCACAGATAAAACCTTTTTTAAAAAAAAATCATGTTGATATTCAGGTTCTACAACTGGGAGTTAGAGATTGATCCCCGTCTTGCAAGCCACATGGAAATCTGCCACTAAATCACAATCTACCTATTCCTCAACTTTTCCCTAATTAAATTTTAAGAACTTGAACATCTTAGATCAAGCAGGAAGAACTGATGACACTGTTTGGCTTCTGCCCAATATAACAGGACATTGATGTCCTATTACATTTTTCAAAAGCACGATGCAGTTCCTCCCTACCAGTTTCATTCAGAAAGAGGGAGAGGAGTATTTTTGCCAGCTGCAAAACTTACTTTGTTGTTAATATTTGGAAGAGGTAGCCGTGTTAGTCTGTGTAAGCATAACAGACAAAATCCAAAAAACCACACATACAAAAACAAGACAAAAACAGCACCATAAAGACTATTATATTTTAATGTGAACTTTCATGGACACATCCACTTCATCAGACATATGGGAACATAATAAAATATTGAATGAAGTATCAGGTTCTTACTAAATATTAATTGGCTCTCGGATGTAGGTTACATTTACAGACAGTAGTTTATGGCTTATGTTGTTTTAGGGCTCTGTTGTAAAAAAAATCTTCACTTGAGGAATTCTAACAACAGAGCCCTAAAACATAAGCCATAAATTACTGCATGTAAATGTAATGTACATCCAAGACCCAAGGAATATTTAGTAAGAAACTGATACTTCATGCAACATTTTATTTTGTTCCCTTATGTCTGATGAAGTGGATGTGCCTGCGAAAGCTCACATTAAAATATCGGTTAGTCTTTAAGATGCTACATTGTCTTTGCCTTGTTCTGTTTCTTGGATTTTGCCTGATCTGCTGTTGATGTTCTCTTTCTTCCTTGGCTTGTAAGGAGCATCTCGCTATGCCTGACTACAAATAATCTGTAACAGATAAATACTTACTGCTGCTTGAGAGTTGATAAAGCTCAGTGGATTGAAGCCCCTGGCTTTGGCAGCATGAGTTTGAATCCTCACCATGCCTCCTAGGAAAGGGGCCTGCTAAGATTGCCTAGAGTGCTTATGGTAGAGGGGGTATTGTGCTCTGCCACTTGTCCTTGAGCATCAGCAGATGGAAGGACTGGTAGGTCACTTCTCACTTATGGCCACCCTCATAAGGTTTTCTGAAGGCTCCTGTAAGTCAGAAACAACCACCTGACCACACAAAAGCAATTATTATTACTGCTGCCTTATGATGACATAACAGCAGAGCCTTAAAAATGAGCAAAATTAAAGGAGAAAGGAAAAACAAAGGGGGGGGGAACTATTATGGCACCTTGAAGAATAACAGATTTATTTCAGTGTGAGCTTTCGTGGACCATAATCTACTTCAGGTCAATTCAATCTATGAAGCTCATGATGAAATAATACTGTTAGTTCTGAAACTGCTATGATTTTGATTTTTCTCTCTGCCCCATCCCCTTTAATTATGCCAACAGGTTGAGACAAGGCTCACATGACTTTTTCTTGGGAAACTTCTGAGATAGTCAGTTTTATGGTCCCAACCTCTGGACAGCCCCAGAGAGCAGAGAAACTAGCTCTCCTATCCTGTATAATTACCTAACAAAAAGGTGTTATCTAGAGAAATTTAACAATACTTAAGTACCATCAAAACTGACATTTTCACACATAATTATTTAAGTCCTTTACAATCAGGCTTAAGGATCCTTAAGCTTATCTTCCCAGAAGAAACAGATTTGTAGAACAGACTGATAATGGCTTTACTAAAACTGAAGATTAGGTTAACAAAGCACACCTATGGAGCTTAGTCAGAAGGAAATCCTACTGTATTCAATGAGGCATACTCTTAAATAGTTACCTTTAGGATTACAGTTTTAAGGACAGGATAACTCTATAAACTCTCTAGCAGAATGCTACTACTAGAATATATTCAAACAATATTGTAACTAAGGCCAAGAGATAGCAGCAGCATAAAGCCAGGGGGAGATTACAGCAAGTCCTGCTAATTTACTAGGGTACTGATTTTAATACAGCCTGTTTCTCTGAAGTAGGAATGAGACAACTAACGCCTCTAATGTACAAGATATCTTAAAGCCAGGCTTTCTCATCATGGCACCTTCCAGATGTTTTTGGCTGCAACAACCATTGTCCTGATTGGTAGGGCTGATAGGAACATCTGGAGAAGTATCAAGGCAAGGAAGGCTGATCTATACAGCTAAGCATCTGTAAGTTTCAATTATTTTAGTGAAAGTGTTAGGAATATGTTTAGCTATCTTCCAATGAAATCACTGAGTTTTACAATGTTTGCCTATAGCTGTTTGCCCCAATGCTACTCCTTTTTCTTATCGCTGAAAGCTCAGCAGCTGGAATGAGGGAGCTGCAGTCTTCAATGGTGGGCTTCAACAATTCCTCCCTTTGTCAAAACACATGATTTTATCAACAAGAACAGCGCAAATACAGACAAACCACACAAACGGACAAGAATGTGAACACAAAGGAAAATGTCAAACACAACTTTTACTTTTCCCTATTTTAATAAATAAAAGGAAGCTGCACAGTGGGATGAGTGAGAAGGGAAAGCAACAATAGCTTGCAAGTTAGTTCTTAGGGAAGTGAAATTTGAGAAACACAGCGGGATATCCTTGCTGTCAAATTTTGGTGATCATGCAGGGAGGTCTTCAGCTTTTCACGGGAGTAGAAGTTGCTTTCATGGTCTTTTTAAGATGATGGTAGTTCGGTAGGATTTTCATTAGGAAGTCCAGCTGCAATGTCTGTGGCTAAAAGGAAAAGCACAGTGTTAGAAAGAAGTGAAGACAGGTGTTGGCGCTCGTAGTCTGAGTTGTGCTGCCTAAATTTTTGCTCTTCAAGCAGGAAAAGAGCAAATTGAATTGATAGCTGGCTTGAGAGTTGCAGCACCACTAAAGGCACAAGGCAAGGAAGAGACATGATCTGGCTTGCAGAATCTTCTTGTCTACTGACAAGAATCTTTTTTTCTCCTCCAGACACTCAATGCAGAGGTTTTCCCAAAGAGATAATAAAGAACAGCCCATAGCATTCATTTTATCCTTATAGGGAATTGCAATGGACACTCTGGCCAAAAAAACGCTGCCTTCTCCATTGCAACCATTCACACTGAGGCAGAAGCTCGTCTCTAGTGTTCCTGTCGAGGAGGAGAGGGTTAGAGACCCTTTTTCAAGCAGGCATAGGTCTACAAAAGACACTGAAGAGCAAACAGAAAAGGGGAGGATCCCGGAGTAATTCACTTTCCTAACCCTGCGGGAGTCTAAATCGGAATAATTAAATCACAGCCTATACAATCTATTTCTCTTGATTGTGCAGAGAGGTAGATTATGTTCCTCCTTTAGCAGAATTTCACATCTTGCTATAACTTTTACATCATTGTCTGAGGCAGCCATTATCCATCATGGAAATAAAACTCCCATGTGAGCTGAACATTTTCCAGGGCTCTTTAAGCCATGACTTCAGCTAAACTGAGCTATCCTCAGAGGTGAGACTGAGTTGGCAGAGTCATGGTAAGGGAGGACCAATGGCCAACAGCATAACATGGATTGATGAACACTCACCTGTGGCCGCTCAGTCTGGACACGACGAAGACAGTCAGCTCCATAGATTACTGTGTTCTCAGGAATGACCTCATAGGTGTTGACATTGCAGCAGGCACCAATGATGCACCCACTTGTCAAAAACACATTCCTACCCACATACGCTAGAGAAAAGATATTTAAGACTTGCATTACCACATGGTAGGAAGCTCAATGATCTGCTTTATCCACTATTCCATCTTTAGCTGGATGCCACTACATTCCTGCTAGCCCTCCATTCCTTCTTTCAGGTTTGCTTCTAGAAGTTTAATACAGTGGTGCCTTGCTTGACGACGATAATCTGTTCCAACAAAATCGCTGTAGAATGAAATCGTTGTCAAGTGAAAGTAAAAAGCCCATTGAAATGCATTGAAAACCGGTTCAAGGTGTTCCAATGGGCAAAATACCTCATCGTGCAGTGAAGATCCTCCATAGGGCAGCCATTTTCCGGTGCCTGTTAAGCGAGGAATCCGTCCTAAACACAGCGGGGAGGCATTTTGCACAGCGGGCGGCCATTTTGAGAGCCGCCGATCAGCTGTTTTAAAATTGTCGTTTAGCAAAGAATCGGTTCCTGAAGCAGGGAACCGATTGTCGTAAAGCAAAATTTCCCCATTTAAACATCGTTTTGCGATCACAATAGCGATCACAAAAACCTCATTGTAAAGCGGATTCGTCATGGAGTGGGGTAATCATCAAGCAGGGCACCACTGTAACTAAATTGCCATGGCATCTGCTAAAAAGTGCAATTAGATATGGGCTGTAATTATTCGCACACTCAGACACACTGGAGTCTTCGCCATTTCTAGGTTTAGTTCCAACAATAACTCTACTCTACCCTGAAATCCTTGTCACCCTCTTTACCTTCTAGCAAAACAAAGGAAGACCCCCACAACTATTAAAGGTTTTAAAAAGACACAACACAGAAACCAAGAAAATCACCCACAGATCTGTCTAATCGAATGGCCAGTCATGCTGACTGTGGATGATGGGAGTTCTAGGCTAAGGCATTTGGAAGGCACTTGGTTGAAGGTGTCTGGTTTCAACCTTCTTTCAAGATTCTATTTCCCTCCAAAGCCATCCTAATCTCCTTGCCTGTATTTGCCCGGCCCGTAGACAAATTGGCTAAAAAAGGGCTCCTGCAGACTCTCAAGAATGACCGATCTGGTTACAACAGTGTCCGATGTAATGTATGTGACTGAGCCCCCCGGTGGCCTTTATATCGATTGCCACTTGCCCCTCTGAGCAGTAGTACCGCTGGGTAATTTAGATACTCAAGGTAATGGAGCATCTTTAAAATGGCACACATCACGATGTAAGGTTAATGGACATAGGTCACTATCCTCTTTGAGGAAAACCATATAATTAATAGTCCATTTTGCATACAGTTCCTCTTTTAATGCTATTTACATAAAGGGAAATACAACAATAATTGCTTGTAATGTTGTGCTCTCTGGTTTGTGTGGCTGTAAGCCAGAGATCACCAGGGCAAGTGCAGAATGCTTCAAGTGCACAGCCCTTGCATACTGTGTTCTTAACAGGATAACGACTACAGAAAATAATCCGTATGAATAGATTTCACATATAAATTGGCACACTGACCTTTGGATTCAATCACATTGTTGTCTCCTATCTTCATTGCTTGAGAATCTACATGTTGTGCTTAAGAAAAGTACTCAGCAATTTGACTTTGTAGGGTTTCCTTCCCCTTCACAGATTGCTGCCTTGTTGTCGTGAAGGGGCTTGAGTAATTCAGAGAAGCTATGGGCTGCACCACACAGGGACACCCAAGACAGACAGGTCATAGTGGAGAGTTCTGACTAAGCGCGACCCCCCTGGAGCAGGAACTGTCAAGCCACTCCAGTATATTTGCCAAGAATGCCCCATAATCAGAAACAAAAGGCTAAAAGATACAATGCTGGAAGATGGGACCCTCAGGTCGGAAGGCGTCCAACATACTACTAAGGAAGAGCGGAGGACAAGTACAAGTAGCTCTAGAGCTAATGAA